CCCCCCCCCCCCCCCCCCCTTACAGTATCCAGATACTCACGCCACCCACCCCACCCATGAATCATTTTTGATTTCCACCAAATCGATCCTCGAAGCCTCTTGCCTACGGGTCAGGTACTTTTCCAAGAGGAGGCTCAATAGAATCTGCTTATACACCCGTGCGAGAAATGCGGACGCTAACCAAGGCACACAGATTCCACCCCCTACCCCCAATTTGACATTGAGTGAAACTATCGAGAAAATCCTGTTTTCGTTCAACTGGAGTGATTTATCGAAAAAAGTCCTTTTCATAACTGCTTTTGGTATCCTAACCGGTATCCGTTGAAGGGTTGTCTTTCTGGGCTCTCTCGAATGTTTATCTGCATCCCAGGCTGTACCAAAGAAGAACATGACCAGCCTTGCTGACCAACGTATCTGCCTGCTGACTGGAACATGGTCACTATCTCCCCCGGGGTTGGCTGAGAGTACCCCCTAAATATCATATGTGCTCGAGACCCACCCACCCTCAGCTTTGATTGTTTTTACCCCCGCCAGCCTCATTTGTTGAAAGAGACCATTGAACCAATGAAGTTCTATAGCATAGATCATATGTAAAAGGGGGTAGTGCTGGTACATGCTGGATTTAGGTCTTTGATTTCGATCTGCCCCCTTCATCTCTACTAGACTACCCCACCCTCATTGCGCCAACTAAGAAGAGAATGGCAAGTCTAAGCTCAAGTCACGCCAGCCCTATCTTGAGGTCGGGAGGTCCCGCGCCACCGGGGATGAGGTCTCACGGTCAGCATCACCAGCTCACAGACTTCTTCGGCGATGGGGTCCGGGTCTCTTGACCCCCGTATCGCCATAACTGAAAGGGTGGGGTGGAGCCTTACAGCCCTGCTGTAAAAGTCGCAATGGCACCCGTCGCTGGGGGTGGGTTGTGGGAGATCTTTGGACGGGTGGGTCGCATGAGCAATTGAGAGGTCCACGGATTGTCTGGATAAAAGGGGTAGCCTTGTGATGACTAGGGACAAACCAGGGTAGGGTCATATCATTACCCGTGATTCTCAAATCAATAGAGGGGGTACTGATCGTGTACAAATATTAGATCCAAGGCCTGCACAGAATAGGGAGGGGTGGGGTGGGCGGTCATGTGAGGTGTGTGCCGTGAGTGGATGACGGCGACGCCGGGGTAAGTTCCGAGGAGATCCTTACAGGCAGAACAGTCAAAGGGCTGGATGATCGGACCGTCGGGTGATGCCGTGACCGCGCCGCTGTCCGTCAGCACGCCGCTGAGTTCCGACTCTTCGCTTGAAGCCTCCCTGGTCCCCGGGGGCCCCCGGGTCCGGCACCGCGTGTAAGAGTACGGTCGGCGTGACTCACCGTGGCACTGGCACGATCGGATCGGATCATCGGATCGGACGACCGGCCGGGCCGGCGGCGGCCGCCGGGTCCGGCCCGCCACTGGGCCATGATTATCCGGCCCGGGCGGCTGAGTCCCGGACCCGACGCGCCGCGCCGCCGTGCGGCGCTCAGCGACGGCGGGGCCCGGCTTCTCCTCCCTCTTTCACTTTCTCTTCTGTACAAGCCTAACAAACTTGGCACAGCGCTCACTCCGTCACTAAGTTCGGCCGGGCCGGGCCCCGACTCCCCGGGGCCCGGGGTTCGAGTCAGCGGCCGCGGGCCGCCGTGCGGCCTGAGGATCCATTCAACTGTATCCGTGATTATCCGCAAGTATCCGTGAGAAGTCAAGGGCACACTGCCATGGGCAAGGGTGTGGTGTTGTTATGGTTGAGTGCGGCAGCGATGCGCATGGCGCTGCTCCTCTTTCCTTCCTCCTCCTACTCATCATCTCGCATTTCAGCTCCATCCTCACCTTCCACTCACACTCGATCGTCCTCCTCCTCCTCCTCTTCCTCATCCTCGCCACTCTCCTGTTCAACCTTGGGAATGAGCTGTTTATGGGCCGAACTGCAGTCCCCATCACCCTCATATCTCACAGAAGAGCTCTCCTCACGTCCAGAGATCGTCACAGCTCTCACATCAACATCCTCAGTGAAGGAAGGGATCTTCCTCTGGGAGCGTGGAGCATCTCCATATGAAGGAGATATCCTACATGCCCCACCTTTGCTGCTGCTCCTCCTTTATCCGATAGAGGGCTCCTCTGGGACTAGGTTGCTTCGAGCGCTGTTCTGGACCATGATTCAGGTCCTCGTTGCTGTCATCATGCGGATGGTGGTTGTGGAGTACGAGCGCTCGCCCGAGGTCTCGAAAGATTGCTGCCACCTTGGCCTAGCACTTGGCGACGAGGACGAGGAGGATGACATTCCGAAGCTGATCGAAGAAGAGAACAAGGTGTGCGTTCATGACCATCTTGTGCATGTAGTGATGATCAAATCTCATCAGAAACACCAAGTCCAACTCGATGCAGCCTGGATCAACGAGCTCGTGCCGCTTGCGTACATGTTGCACCCATACTCGGTGTTGTGTTGTGGTGTTTTGATTTCGGTAGGAAACTTAACAAGGCTTTGCAGATACTCACATGCATTGGCACATCGACAATCTCCGTAGATCATCTGTTCGTGATGGCTTCGGTGCTTTGTGCTCTCAGAGTAAAATCTCACTGCTCTCTTATTTCCACATGACCGACGACTGTGGCAGGGGAGGACGATTCAAACCTCGGTCGCCATCTCCACAGCAACTTACATCTCTCCCTATTACATTGTCCTCTTACCGCCTCTCGCACTCCTGCTCAGGAGGAAGCAAGAGGGAGCCTTCTCCTCATACTTTAGCTTGTACAATCACTTGCCTTGCCCCATGTGAGGATTTTCTGACATTCTCCTTGCTACAGTGTTGGGGCTTGCTGTGCGGTGATGGGAGCGTTGATGTATACATCATACGCGATCATGGGGAGCTGGGACTTTGTGAATGGTGAGCTCGTGAATGGGCAGGAAAAGCTTGATCTAAGCTGTTGTAACAGCGGTGTACTACTTCACCTTTACTGTCCCCGATCTCTCGCCCAACGTCGGCTTGTGCGTTGGATTGCAGGTTGTCTCTCGGGGCTCAAGGGTTTTGCAGGTTCTGGTACTTCTTCATCGAGATCTTCGATCAGTTTCGAAACTTTTTCCTCTTCCTGTTTCAATATCACATGCTTGTATGGCTGATGTGCTGGTATTTACAACTGTGACTGTGAGAGCAGGTCTACCCCATCCCCTTGGCTATGCGAGTGTCTCATCGCCCGCTCTTTCTCTTTGCATTCTCACTCGGTATGATTCGTTTGGTTGGGGTCTGGCGTTTTGACTGATTGGTCTTCAGGTTATATCGCCATCTTCAAATCTTATCCATCGATAGGCGACGCAGCGTTCTACATGCCATTGCTGATCATGTTATACCTCCTGCATGCTGTTTGGTCGCCATGACCGAGTTACGCAGTTTTCACCGCCAGCTGATCGAAATGAGAAACTTGTTCATCTTAGTACAGATCCTCCTCTTCGTTACCGGTAGCCCCCCCCCCCCCTGTTCTTCTCGGCCTGATGCGACCTCTCGTGCTCGTGCACCAGTGCTCTCGCCGATCTTCTGGCACTTGTGGATAGTGACGGGAGCGGGAAACTCGAACTTCTATTACGGTCTCACTCTCGCTTACTCCGCAGCACAGGTAGGTCTGCGTGTGACGTTGGTTGTGTTGACTTGTTGAATGCAGGTCCTGATTATCTCTGAATCGATGCTGGCGGTATCATTACGAATGAATACATCTCATGCCTGAATGTCTCGTTGTTACAGGTGCTGAAGCAAGACAAGAAACAAAGGCTCCTTTCGAAGAAAAGAGATTAGATGAACGAGATCAGCTCTGGTCGAACTACATTCTTCTCTTCTTTAGTTCGCAGCCATGTTTCATGCCTCATCATTCCCTGCTACTTGATGTTGATCCTCCCCTGCTTCTCTTTTCTTACTTCTTGTCTCCTACGCTTCTTGTCTCCTTCATGTCATTTCTCGCCCTGTTTGCTCTTTTCTTTTTAAATTTTACAGACTTTTTTTACTGCCTTGAAGTCCCTACCCCATTCCGTGCTACCACCTGGTTTGGTCCACCCTACCCCTCACTTTCTAGTATTCGTTCTGAGGGCACCTCAACCCCCTCATTTTCTCGGTCCCCTCAACTTCCATTCTCGTTACCCTTCTTACTATGACCATCGATCTTGCACAGCACCCCTTCTTATTTACACCCACCCCTTCCATTGTCCACCCCTACCCCCTCCATTGTTTGGGGAATGTTCCGTAGTCTCTATTTCTGTTCTCCGTCATGCGCTGCGACTACCAGGCGGTGGCGCCACAAGCAGGTCGGCTCTGCTCCTCCTCGCGCTCCTCCTCTCCTGATCTCCCCAAGACATCGTCATCCCGTGCCCTGGCCCTCCTCCTCTCCTCCTCTCTCGCTCTCCTCCTCGTCATAGCTGTGGTCCTGATGCTTGACGAGCCGTCGACTTCATTGGAGCAACAGCAGGCAAACAGGTACGAGCGCGTTTGTCGGTCATGCGAGTATATGTGGTATACGTGTTTTTCTCTCTCATGAGTACCTCTGATCTCTCCCTCTCCTCTCCTTAACCCCATCTGACTGCTCTCATTGCAGCCCCCTTCTGAATCGGATGGAAGGGATGCGGACAAATCCCTACGTGAACGACGAGGCGTCGGGCTCGGAGCACTGGGGAGGAGTAGGCAGTGAAGGTTATGGAACTCCTGCATGGGACGGGACGGGATGGAACGCAAACTACCACCCTAGAGATCGGGCAAGCATGGACTCGGAGTCGATGGAGCCGTGGTACTGGAGGAAGGGCCCTAGAGTGAACGACGAGTACACTGGGCATGTGGCGGACGGGGATCCTCTCTTCTCTCCTCCTGATGGCTGGGAGCCACCCTATGAGCTGAAGTAGAGCAGGAGCGGGGCTGGAGGAGAGCTGGAGTGTTGAGCAGCGGAAGGTTTTCAGATGGAGGGCCGTTGAAGTGTAGATGTAGCAGGCGGTGGAGGAGTGCGCGGGTAGATGTCAGCTGGGTATGAAGGTGGTCTTGGGCAGAGATGAAGTAGACAAGGTTGTAGATCTCGAGGTCGTAGGTCTGGCCACAGGGATGTCTTGGAAGTAAAGAGTTTGTGCGATGCGGTATGGAATGGACAGAAGAAAATCAACTCTTTCTTCCCGCTATTAGCAGGGTTAACAGGTAGAGGATGGGAGGGTGAGAAAGAGGGCTGGAGGAGGAGGAGGGAGGGAGGGAGGGAGGGAGGGAGCAGGGAGGTCGGGGAGGGGGGCCGGGAGACGAGCAACAGGACGAGGACAAGGAGGACGAGGACCAGGAGGAGAAGGTTATGTGTTGGAGCTCTCCTTGATATCAATCCGAACCTCTTGGGTCTCGTGCGCTGCAGTGAAAAGGCTCAGGGGACAGAAGGAGAAGCGCAAGGCAGGGCGAGGACCTTGATCCGCCTTCTCCTCCTCCTGCTGCTGCTGCAGGAGAGGCTTCATCTCGACGTTGTCCTTGCTCCTTCCCCGCCGTCTCACAGTCTGGCTGTTTGCATCGCCAATCATCACTCTATGTTCCGTCCTTGGACCCAAAGGTGCTCTCAGCAGCGGGAGAGGTTGCAGGCGAAGAGCGGCAGGTTCTTACCTCTCCTCCTCCTCCGCCAGCCTCGTGTACCTCTGCGGCCTCCTCGTTTCCGCGCTCGGCTTCCGTTGTCGGCTGCTCCTCGATTTGTCCGGAGAGCATCCGCAGGACTGTCAGGGGAAGCGGCGTGAGGCGCTGAGGGAGGAAGAGGGGGGGAGAAGGTTGGAGATGACAGGGGAGGGAGGGAGGGAAGGAGGAAGGGAGGGAGGGAAGGAGGAAGGGAGGGAGGAGGAGGGAGAGGGAGGAAGAGCGGAGCGGGGAGGGTTCGAACCAGGGCGATCAGGGCGACGCTGGCAGGGAGGATGATGATTCCCCCGAGGGCCATCATAACGATGCTTTCAAGGAAGTTCTGATGAGGAGTCGGGCCGAAGGTGAACTGGCCGTTGGAGAGCTTTGAAGCTGAGAGGAATGGATCCTCCTTGTACCGCAGGGCAAACTACAACTCGCTCATCATCCTCCTCCTCTCAGGGCGCTGACTGACCTGGACCACGAAGGGGGAGGAGAAGTTGCCGCGGGTGGGGCTGAGATCTTGGGACGAGAGCCTCCGGTTGGAGTTGGGCAGCCGCCGGGAGAATTCCTTGGCATACACTGAGTTCTCCTATCAGTGACATGGGAGGATCGATTCCTGCCTCACCCAAGGGCCCATCCTTGCTACATCCGCATTGCGACACTTGCCTCGCCGGCAGCACCCACTGCTGCTCGTTCCCAGCTTCCTTGAGCTCGAGCGTCAGGCAGACGCTCGTCAGTCTCCGCAGGCTCCAGCAGCTCCCTCGCTCCCAGACGCCATGACTCTGCACCCGACACATCTTCTGGTTGACCCCGACAGTGATCCACTCCCACAGCTGCAAGCTCGTCAGCTGGACGCAGGAGGGAGGACGGAAAGGAAAGAAGGGAGGGAAGGAGGGAGGAGGGAGGGATCAGAGGGATCGGAGAGAAGGGAGGAGGGAGCGGCACGGAGGAGGGAGGGAGGAGGAAGGCAACAGACAGAAAGGAGGGAGGCAGCAGGGAGGCAGCAGGGAGGCAGCAGGGAGAGACCTTGAGGTCGTCGATACTGAAGGAGCTCGCCGACGATCCCTCTACCTGCACGTTGAAGCTGACAGATAGAGGAGGAGGAAGGGCGCGTTGAGCAGCTCGGACTACCTCACCGTCAGCACACACAAGGAAGGAGGAGGAGGAGGAGGAGGAGGAGGAGGAGGAGGAGGAGGAGGAGGAGGAGGAGGAGGAGGAGGAGGAGGAGGAGGAGGAGGAGGAGGAGGGAGGGACCTTGATGGACTTGCTGACGTCTTGAGGGATGGAAAATTGGTGGGAAAACCTGGAGGAGGAGTGAGCAGCAAGAAAGCGACGCAGAGAGTTATGACCTAACTTGTGTGAAGTTTATGATATCGCCCTGTAAAGAGATGTCAAGCTTGCGCAGTTGAGATGAGGAAAAGGAAGAAGAAGAGGAAGAGGAAGAGGAAGAGGAAGAAGAAGAGGAAGAGAAAGAAGAGGAGGAGGAGGAGGAGGAGGAGGAGGTGGTGGTGGTGGAGGAGGAGCGGAAGAAGGAGGAGGCGGGAAAGTCAACCAGAGCGAATTCCGTCTGCCACTTCTTGGGGAATTCGGAAGTGTTGTCCTGAAACCAGAACGTGTGAACATGTTTCAAACTGCTTCACATGCAGCACAATCTGAACAAGCAAGCAAAGACAAAGAGCCATCTCCTCTTCCTACCATTGACATACTGCTGCTAGTGCCGTTGATCGTGATGCTCGCAGTGCTGCAACCTGTTACTTTCTTCTCCCGTCCAGTCTACTTTTTCACCTCTTCTTCATGACAGGCTCGAATTTTTTCGTCCAATTTCCCAGGGCCCAGTTGAATTCCTTCACAACGAAAGAGCCTGTACAGAGACAACACAATCATCACCACAAACTCTTCTCCCCTCCTGCTTTCCTCCTCTCTTCCTACCCTATCGCCGCCGAAACCACCATGGTCTCCTGCTCTTGCCCTGCCCAATCTACTGCTCCCCTCCCCTCTGATCCCGAACCGCTTCCGCCACTAACACATTTCCTCTTCCTCCTCCTCTCACGTGTATCAATGTAGGACTGGAACCACACGTGGACGCCATACACAACCATGCTGAACCCCTGGGACGATCATCAGCATCATCGGTAGATCGGAGGAGTGGGCGACTAACGATCATCAGCATAAAGATGAGACACGCGGTGTTGGGCGACTCCTCGTCGTAGGGATGCGACCGGTAGAGTCCCTGCAGAGGGTGAGGGCAGGACAGCATAGAGGGCATTGAAAACCTTCCAGTCGTCCACAGCGCGGAGGGCTGAGAGCCTCTTGTTTCGTGCATTCACGCTCGCAGCGGCAGCGGCGGCCATGGGAGCTCAGCAGATTGAAGGAAGAAAGGAAGGAGAGGGGAGAGGAAGGGGAGAGGAGGAAGCGAAGCGTCGAGGCAAGGGAGATGGGAGAAGTTGACAATGGAGGGCCAGTCAAGTCAGACTGCTCTCTTCCTCTCTCAACCTCGTCCTCCGATGCTCCTCCTACCCTCCTCTTGTCGTCGTTGTCGTCTCTCCTCCTCCTCCTGCTCTTCTCCCACTCCTCTGCTCTCCTCCTCTACCTCGCTCCCTCCCTCCTCCTCTCAAGCTCCGCCATCGCGTTCGGCTGAAGCACACAATTGGAATGGCAGTAAAGCCAGCAATAAAATATTGTGTTTTCCAATAAAACTCCCATAAAAGTGCCAAGGTTGCAAGGTTCAAACTTTTTTACACGCCAGTGGGCCAGCCAGTAGTCAGGGAGGGGGGGGAGGGAGGAGGCGCTAGGAGGATGGACAGGTCAGATGATGGAGGGCGAGGAAGACGACGCGAGGATGTTGAGACTAGCAAGTGAAGGACGAGCATGACGATGTCGACATCGCCGCCTCTCTCCCTCTTCCTCTTCCCCTTCCTCCTCGCTGCCTCCGTCCTCGCAGATGTTACGATCGTCCACCCTGCAAACTTGACGCTCTACCGGAGAGGAGAAGCTGTAAACCTGACGGTGATGGCTTGCCTGCCCGAGCACGAGGACGCGGTTGTCGAGGTTTACTTCGACCACCAGCGCATCGGGGAGTTTGGAACCAGTGCGGCAGTGTTTCAGCAAGAGGAAGAACGGCTGCAGCAGGAGCTGCGGGTGTCAAGGGTTGCCTCCTGCCTCTCCTCGCTTCCTCGCGGACTCGTTCTCAGCATCGGATCTGTGGAGGACGGGCAGCACACGATCGCGGCTCGTCTCAAGGGGAGGGAAGGAGGAGGGTCGTCGGAGGTGAAGATACATGTAGGCGAGGGTTCGCTCAGCATCCTAGTGGGCGATGAGCGGGAGGAGGAGCAGAACGTTGTGCGACTGAACGCATGGGGTTGTCTCTTGATAGGAGCTAACCTGAGAGGTCCTTGTTCCCTGTCTTCCCCGCGCGTTCCTGCCTACCACTGATGTTGCTGGTTCTGTTGCTGCTCCCTCCCTCATCCTTGTTTTCTGTCCGTTCTCCCACTCTTTCATTTCATGAGCCTTTTCTCTGTTCCTCCGGTTTTCTTCCTTCCTTTTCCCCTGTCTTCTTCTTGCATCATTTACACCACCGCCACCACCACCGCCACCACCACCACTGCCCCCACTTCTTCCTCTTCTCCTCCTCCTCCTCCTCTTCCACCACCACCACCACTACCACCACCACCACATCCTCCTCCTTTTCGGCCTGCCGCGGTCTCCCACTTTCTATGCTCCTGATCCTGAGTACCGTCAGGTTACCCAACAATCTCCCCCAGGAATCCTTTGCACGTGTACGTGAACGGCAGACACTACAGGACAGGTTGAGCTCTCCTTGTATTCTTCTCTCTTGTCTCTCAAAGTCTTCAGATGACGCATTCATCGTCATACCTGTACAACCAGGAACCTGTCATGTGCGAGAACAAGACGGCCATCAACCTTCCTCCTTGACATGCTCGTAGATTCGGGTCGCCATCACCGATGCCTTCGGCGACATCGTCATGGAGAGCAACGCCAACGTCACTGTCCTCCCTCCCCCACCTGCTCGTCGCCTGCAGGGCGATCTTGACTCGAGCACTTGCAACGGTCGCTGACCCTGCGCGAGCAGGTCAAACTTCTGTCCTCGACCTGCTGGCTGCCGCTAGCGATGGGGACGTTCTCATCTCCTGCCTTCACCCCACCAGGGGACGGCCTGAGGTAGCCGCTGCCTGCTGCTCCATCGCTCTGACCTGCCTCACAAGGACGCGATCGCCGTCAGGTCCCACTGGCTGGCTCTTGCCCGTCATCCAATGAGGGTGGGCTGAGGATGAGCTGGGGATCTGCAGCTGACCCCGCAAACTTGTGCAGGTTGAGTGGGTTTTTGCGGTAGACAGCGACGATGTTGAAGCTCTTGAGGTCTGTAGGGAGGAGGGGAAGGAGGGGAGGGAGGGAGGAAGCAGAAAAACGAGAGAGAGGGTGGAAAGTGGAGGGAAGGGGAGACAGCTCGGGGAACTGAGGAGAGGAACAGGGTCTGGTGTCAACGTTCAGGGACGAGGAGAACACGCGTGTAGTCTGCGTTCCCATCGACTGCTTGTTCTACCCCGAAGGTTTCGTTCGATCGTCTTGCTCGACTCTAGCTGAGCTGGCAGCAGGGACATGTGTTGCTGGATGGAACTTTGCAGCCCTAGCTGGTGAGCCGGGAGGGCTAGTGAGTTCGTCCTCATGACTAGCTGGACCCCAGCTAGGGGGCACGTCCTGCTTTCCGTTGCCGACGACTTCTTTCCTCCTGCTGGGTGAGGAGCGAACTTTGACTTTGACAACTTTGACAGTTGCAGGTGGGATGAGCTCGTCATGTCTAGGACTCCTCTCTTCGACCCTGCCGTGCTGATGGTCGGGCTTGTATCCCCAGCTACCTCCCCACCTGAGCTCCAGTGCTGTCGACCGCGTCTCATCCTCTGCACCTCCTGCTCCAACGCCGCTCCCCCTCCTCCTTACCCACCCCTCCTCCTTCCTCCTCTTCTCCTGCTCCTCTCCCTCTCCTCTCCCTCTCCTCTCCCTCTCTTCTCCCTCTCATCCTTGTTTCACGTTTCTCTCAAACAGGTCTCCGATGGGATCTCCTCTTGCCGGCATGCTGTCCCTGTCCTCCGTCCCTCCTCTGCCTCCTGCTCTGGCGACGCTTGTATGCTCGAGCAGCTGCCGTCTCCTCCTCCCGCATCATCCTACGGTGTACTTCAAAGCCACCCCATCTTGAACAGAGCTCGCTACCTGCAGGTGCTTGGAGGGAGATCGAGGGGAGGGCAGGGGAGGGGAGGGAAGGGGAGAGGAGAGGGAAAGCAGGGCAGGGGAGGGAGGATCTCGACAGGATTCCTTCAATTAAAGTTTTTGATCTCTCCTGCTGCAGACTGGTTTTGTTCTCTTCCCTGAATTCAAGAGTGTGTATTGTGATGACGACTTCACTCTGTCGGCGAAATTGGATGGGGTACCTTCTCCTTCCTTCTCCTCTCTCTCTCCCTCCCTCCCTCCCTCCCTCCCTCCCTCCCTCCCTCCCTCCTACTTCCTCTCTCCTCATCCTCCTTCCTGCTGACTCGCTGCTCCTCTGACGAGCTGGCACAGGTTGAGGTGGACGGGCTGGACATTGCTTTCGAGCATCGACATTCAGTGCATGGTAGGCAGGAGGCAAGACGGGAGATGCACAACACAACCATCAGGAACAACCTCCCCGAGCGCTACCATCACGGTGAGATGACTTTGTTGCTCTTTCTCGCGGTGTTGCATGCTAGAATCAAGCTCGTTGTCTTGTTGTCCGCTGGTTGTCCTCGCTTTCCCCGATCACTGTCTTGCTCTTGTTTTCTTTGTCTCTCAGTTCACTCCTCTTCTCCTGCATTTCTTTCTTGTCTCCTCACGCTGATAGTCAGGCAAGAAGTTGTTTGAGATTCGTTCGATCGGACGGCAGGCGTTGTCTCGTCATATTTTCTCCTTCCCCTCCCATCACAAAGACAACAGGAACAAACCTCCTCCTCCTCCTCCTCCTCCCCATCTTTCCTCTCCTATCCAGTCTCTCCTCCGTTTCTTGCTACCTTCACTTCCTCTTCAGTCTGGTCAGGCAGCATCTCAACAGACAACGCTCCTCTCCCTCCTCCTTTTGCTCGATTTCTGTATCGTCTCTCCACAAGCATCTCGAGCTCCTCAAACTGGGATCCCCTTCGTCCAAGACTTGTTCCAGCTCGACCTGTCCTCAGCTTTCTGCCAACACCCTATGACCAGCAAGTTCAACGGCGAGGAAGATGGAGGGAGAGCAGGAGGAGCAGGAGGAGCAGGAGGAGCAGGAGGGGCAGGAGGAAGAAACTGGTGCGATCTGAGGGTAGAGATCGTCATGGCCTGCAAGACGATGGAGCTGGTGGATGAGTCACAGGGGGAGGGGGTGAGAAATCCGCAAACTCTGCAGCTGGGAGAGGGGGAGCTAAGAAACTCGCTCCTCGACGCCGCGGAGGGTCTGTTTGTGATGTGGGTGAGGGAGGAGGAGGGAGTGAACGCTTCCTATTGGTTGAAGTCTGCGGTTGACTTTGCTGCTGAAGGTACCGATGATAAGTTCCGCTTCTCCCCTATCCCTGTCCCCCCACTCCTCTCTCCTCCCCTGACTCCCGTCCCCTGCCCTCCCTTCCTTTCTTCACTCGCCCTCCTCTTCCCTCTGCTATCCTTGTCCTTCTGTTTCTTCATCTGCTCCTTCTTCCCCCACTGCTCACGTCACCTCGCTTGGCTAGCCTGACTCTGTTCCTGTCTTGAAGACTTTATGAAGATGAAATCTGCTTCAAGTTCTCTGCTGGAGATCTTCAAGTCCTCGAGAGCCATAAGTTGACGAGGTTGACAAGTGAAAGTTGGTTGATGTGATTGACAGGATGCGAGGAGAATTTGTTTGGACCGATGCTGAAACACGTTGCCCACATTATCCGATTTAGAGAAGAAAAAGATTCGAGTACGTGCATGATGACGAAAAACCAAAAGCCAAAAGGGTGTGATGATGATGATGGTGGTGATGATGGTGATGGCGATGATGATGATGATGATGATGATGATGATGATGATGATGATGATGATGGAGATAGCGATAGCAGCAACGATGGAGATGACAATAGCGATGATTACCATGTCTGAGATTTTTTCGATGATTCAACCTGCAGGTAATGTGGATGCAGACTTTTTCCGTCGTATCTGTCGATTACTCTCAACATCTTCCACCTGTGAAGTTTCCTCCTCCTCCTCCTCCTCCTCCTCCAGCGACTTCAGTCTTGTCTGGTCTTCTCCTTTGAGGACCTCAAGAAGCGCTGAGCCCTACTGCACGTGCGGGGGAGGAAGCGCAAGAGAGTCGATAGACCACGAGCTCCTGTGGTCAACGGAGGAGGAGGCGAGGAGGACGAGGAAGTTCTTGTTCGCTGCCGGAGGCCTTGGGGATCGCCGGGGGGAGGAGGGAGGAGGGAGGAGGGAGGAAGCGAGGTCAGACGGCAGCATCTTGCTCGTCGACGACCTGCTGCCTCGTAGGGTCTGGTCGGAGATTTTGTTTCCCCGCCATGGCTCCCAGATGCTCTTCGATGCCTTTGAGAAGGTTTCCTTCACTGTGAGTGATGTGTTTGCTTCCCATGATTCGTCTCCTCCTCCTCCTTTCCCTCCTCCCTTCTTGGCTTCCACTGACCCACTCCCTCTCTCCTCCTCTTCTACTTTGGTTTCTCGTCTCTTCTTTCCCTCCTCCTCTCCTCTTGCCTTGTCCTCTAACATCGTCAACCTGCATTAGATTCGTGCTGTTGTTTACAACCTTGCAATGGGCCCCGACGCTTCCTATGCCTGCGTCTTTGTGGACGGGCAAGAGAAGGTTTCACTACTACCACCACCAACTCCTCCTCCTCCACCACCACCACCATCACCGCCACCACCACAACCACCTCCCCCTCCTCCTCCTCTCCTCCTCCTCCACCACCACCATCACCATCACCACATCCTCCTTCATCTCCTCCATCTCCTCTCCTCCCCTCCTCCTCCTCCTCCTCCTCCTCCCCCTCGTCTCCCAGCCCCTTAACAATAGCATTAGGGATGCTCGCACGAGCCCGAGCTCGAGCTCAGCATGGATGATCCTGGTCTCGACCACTCATGGCATGTGATGGAGCTCAGGCTGTACGACAACATGAGCCAAGTCAGAAACTCCCTTCCTCCTTCTTTTTCCTCCTCCTTCTCTTCCCTGGTTCTCTTGTCGTTCTTTTGTCTTCTTGACTTTTTCTTGTCTTGTTTCTCAACCACCCCCACCGCCTCTTGCTTCTCCATTCTTCTTTATCTCATCGCATTCGCTAGGCTCTTCATTCCTCCTCTTCATTCTCTGAGTTCCGCACGGGCGTGAAACCATGCTCGCAGCCGCTCCTGTCCTTCGTCGCAGAAGCCTTCCTGCAGAAGGAGGAGGAGGAGGAGGAGGAGGAGGAGGAGAAGGGGAGGGGGATGAAGGGCAAGGGGAAGGAGGAGCATCTACAATGCTTGTCTCACATTGCTGAGGGGCCGTTCCCTCTTGTTGTCAGCAGGGAGGAGGAGGAGGAGGAGTTTGTGTGCGTTTATGAGACTTCTTGGGCGTCTGTGGAGAGCAGCAGTGCTGTCAGTCTGATCCCTAATTACCGGCGATGGATGATGGTGAGGAGGAGAGGGAAAGGAAATAAGGAGAGCAGGAGGGAGGGGAGGAAAGGGCAGGGCAAAGACAGGAGCAAGGAGGGAAAGAAGAGCAGGGCAGGGCAGTGAAGGACAGAGCAGAGCAGAGCAGAGCAGAGCAGAGCAGAGCAGAGCAGAGCAGAGCAGAGCAGAGCAGAGCAGAGCAGAGCAGAGCAGTTGGAGGAGGGAGCAGAGCAGTTGGAGGAGGGGAGGTCTGAACGAGTGACGATGTTCGAACAGGAAGGGAGCATGGCAAGTGGGCTGGTCCCGGCAATGCCAGCAGGGCTGGGATACCTTCTCCTTCCTCCCTCAACCGTCTTCTACCCAGGGCTGGTGCTGACCACCAGCTCCAACTCAAGCAGGCGCCTCCTCTACCAGCTGCAAGGAGCTTGCGACGACCGCAACCTCCGACCTCCCTTCTCCCGCGAGCAGCTGGGAGAGGAGAGGAGGGGAAGGAGGAGCAACCAGACCCTGGGGACCCTCCTCGTCCTGTCGCAGATCTGGGGTGAAAACTTCTACCACTGGATGGTAGAATGTCTCCCGCGCGTCTCCTTCCTCCCCTCCCACCTGCTTCTCTCGCCTGACCTCGTCATCGCCGTCCCAGCTCTCAACCCCTTCGTTGTGGCAACTTTGCGGCTACTGGGGGTGGAAAAGGAGAAGCTCCTGCCTTTCGCTCACCAGCACGTGTACCATGCCCGCGCCGTCCTCCTTCCCAGCTCGGGAGTCTGCGGGATCGGACCTCCTCCTCGCATCCTCCGCCGCACGTCAAGAGCTCTGCGTAAGGGACTGGACGCCATCGAAGCAGCGAGAGAAGCAGGAGAAGCAGCAGGAGCAGGAAGGGCCTGTGTGCTTGTGCAACGATCGGCGAATAACGGGAGAAACATTCTCAATCATGATGAAGTTCTCCTTGCTTTGAAAAGGACGTTCAAAGATGTACCCTCCTCCTCCTCCTCCTCGACCACCACCACTATCACCACCACATCCTTCTCCATCTCCTCCTTCGCCTCTTCCTCCTCCATTCTTCCTTCTTCTCCTCTTCCTCTATCTTCTTCATGGTTCGAGATTGTTTTCTCTCCCTCAAATTTGCCCACATCTCTCTTCTCTCCTCTCTAAACTTCCTCCTCTCCCCTTCTCTCACCTTCTCTCCTCCTCTCCGTGATAACTTGTTGCAGGTCTGCGACTGGAGGGTCATGAAGCCACTCTGGTACCTCCTCCTCCTCCTCCTCCCATCATCCTCCTCCTCCCCCCCCTCCATGACGCCTATCTTTTTCTGCTCACCTATAGATCAGGGGAGGAGACAAGGAGCTGGGCATGCTTGCAGCAGCTTCTCTCTTCCGCCATGCGTCGCTCATCGTCGCTCCTCACGGCGGCTCACTCGCCAACCTCATGGTCAGGCTCCTCCTCCCCACAGTTCCTTATCACATCCCTTTCTCTCTTCCACCTCCTCCTGCTCCTGCTCCTCTTTTCCCCTCCTTCCCTCCCTCTCTTCCTCCTTCCCTGCTTTCTGCTCATCTCTACTGTTTTTGGGCTTGTAACTTCCCTCACAGTTTGCAAGCCCACACGCTTGTCTTGTTGAGATCCTGCCAGCGTTCCGCCCTAACTTGTGCTACGAGCGGTCTGAATGTTTCAACCTCGATCTTCTACTTGCTTGCCCTCCCCGTGCTTCTCGTATTATCTTCCTCCTCTTCCGCCGCAACAACCAACACTTCCCCTCTACCTTCTCTTCTTCTCCTCTTCCCCTCCTGCTCCTGCTCCTGCTCCTGCTCCTGCTCCTGTCCCTCCTGCTCCTGCTCCTGCTCTTCTATTTTCCTCGTCCTCCTGCTCGTCTCCTAACGCTCCCTCAGCCTTTCTCGGGCCCTGGGCTTGCGCTACTTCGGGCTGGTGGTTCCCGGCAGCTTCTCGCAGCTTCCGATGCAAGTCGACCTCCTCCTCCTTCTCCGTACAGTCGCGTCAGCCCTGGAAGGAGCGAGGTAAGGATGAGCAGAAACGACACATGGAAAGAATGAGGAGTAGCAGTGTGAGGAAGAGAGTTGTGTCGGTGCAGAATGGAGAGCTGGGGGGAGGGCGTGAGCTAGTGCGATCAAGAACATGAGGAGGAGGAGGAGTACGGGGAGGACAGGAATGAAGAGTTCTTAACAGTTTCCAATCGACAAGGTGATTGGAAGCTCGTCATTTGATGTTGGAATAGAAAGGCAGCACAGTTACGTAACCACAGAAACAGCAACATTGTATTATCACATACCAACAACAACTCTATTTTCCTCCTGCTCCTCCTCCTTTATCTCCTGCTCCATCTCCTCTTGTTATCATCGACGTCCCTTTTTTTCCTCCTTACATGTACTTGGAATTCGACCCGAGGGTCCCGATCTTATTCTCAACATCCTCATCAGTTCCAGTGAAGATTTTCTTATCATCGCGGGGGAAGGAGTAGAAGTGGAAATCCGTCACGTGATCAGCAAGAGTCCTATCCCTTGTTGCCCCCACGAGTTGCCGCTCCCCCTCCTCCTGCCCCACCACTCTGTCCCGCAGCCCGTCTCTCCTGAGCTCCTTCCAGTACTTCCCGTTCACGATCCGCTGGTTCTCCTCCGACTCAGGCTCCAGCGCTCCCAAGTGATCCTCTACCATGCTTGCCTCCTCCTGCTTCGCCTTGGGCACAGGAACCTCCTCGTCCTCCCCTCCGATCTGATCATCTCCCAGTTCCTTGGTCGGGTAGTAGTCCTGGTAGAACTCCGTACCTGCCTTCTCCTGCGCCTCCTTCACCTCCTCTGCAGTGATCCTCCTCCCCTTCCCTTCGGGGTGGATCGGATGTCCGACCATGTTCGCCTCCACCTGGTGGTACCAGGGCCCGTACATGATCTTCTGGTTGGCGATGGAGTTGGGGGCAAGGTGGCCAAAGTGATCGACGCGGGGAGCGCTGGACGTAAGAAGGTCGTGCATCTCAGCATCGTCAGAGCTGACGTAGTCATCCAACGAGTTCATCAGTTGAGCATCCTCCAACCCCTCCTCCTCTCCCGTCCCCGTCGACTTGACCTCACCAGACTCGTCCTCCTTCTCCTCATCCTTGGCATAGCGGTTGTGTCTACCGGCCATGTACGAGTCATCCCCTTGGTAAACGAACTTGCCATGGTTGCAAGCTCCGGGAAAAGAGCAAGGTCCTCCCTTGTACTGGAGCCCAGCCGTCCACGTCTCCTCCCCATCCTTCGCCTGGCTGTCAAAGTTGTAGTCCTTCAAAGACTTCTGATGCCCTCGGACCACAGTCGAGTGATCACGAGACCCGTCGGAGAGGAAGCGGTTTAGAGCCTCGTCGAAGCGGATCCTTTCCTGGGACTCGCCTTTCCCGCTCCTCGACTTGGCCTTCACCAGTCTCATCGACTGCGTCTTCGGTGCCGCTCGCTCCTCCTCTTCGCGCGGGTCCTCGTTGTGGTGCCAGGAGTATCGCATCACGCCCGGGAAGTCGCTGGTGGGGATGAAGCTGATGTCAGTTCCCATCCCTTCCTGCCACGGCAGCCCTCGCATTCCCTCCAGTCCTGAGCTGCTTCTGCCCGCGGCCTCCTGCTCCTCGGAGAGCTCGTTGTTGTGCCAGGAGCCCTTCATGACCTCCGGGTAGTCGCTGGTGGGGACGAAGCTGATGTCAGTCCCCATGAGAGGGTGCCAGGGCAGACCCGTCGCCTCTCTCGCCTCTGCCTCCGACACCCGGGCAGAGGCAGCAGACGTGCTGGTGCTCGAGGCCTCCTTGGCAGAGGAGATGGCTCGCTGCACCTCGTTTCTCTCCTTCTCGACTTCCTTCTCGAGCGACTTGAGCCTCGCCTGCGTCTCCGCCAGCTTCCTGTCCTTGTTCTCCATCCTCTTCACCTCTGAGACTTGTCCAGGGATAGAGGCGAGAGCCGAGGTACCATCAGCGCGATACATGGGCATGTTCGACCTGCATGCGGATCAGAGCACGACGATCACGAAGAGGCTCTGCTACATGACGGGAAACCACTGCAGGAGCTGCTCGTTGCTGCTCGTTGAGACCAGGAGCGCACAAGCAAGCAGCATGACTGACCCCACCTATGTAGCCCCGTCAGTTCACCATCCTCCCTCTCTGATTCTTCAATTTACCCCAACAACCAGTCCAGTCGAGGTGCGATGACGAGGAGAGAAAGAATACGTCATGCTCGACGCGGAGCCGTAACTTGGCATGCCTGCCAACCGTCAAGTCACATGAATCTTGGAACAGGATCCATCCTCGCCCCTCAGCCTCGTTCCCTTCCTCTCGTTCTTCATTCAAGAATTTGTGTTCACATTTCAAATTGAACTCCTCCATCTCCCACCAATGCTCTCTCGTTTAAGAGCGGGAAGTCTCCTAAACACTCTTGTAACCATCTCTCTTGACAGCTCTACTGGCTCATCCTGGGACTATAAAACTCGTCTTCGCTCTCTTTCTTCGCACCAACCCTTCTCCTACCTCTTCCTGTCTTCTCCTCCCTGTCTCTGTTCTCTCCTCCCTGTCTCTGTTCTCTCCTCCCTGTGCTCCTTCTCTCCTCCATTTTCTTCTCCCTGCCATGGCGACTCTTCAGCTAGTCGTTAGAACGGTTACAGTTCTACAAGTCTGTTGACGTTACAAACCGTTGGAAATCTACCCTGCACCTTCTTGCCTTCGAACCACCCTACCCCTCTCAGCAATCGAGGATTCCACCCACCCCTAGTATGAAAAATAAAATGTGCCCCTCAAGTTCGATCAAGTACCCCTTCTTTAGATATCAAAAGTGAGGGTGATATGGGTAATCTGGATAGGTCAGCTGAAGGAGGGGTACAGCGGAAGGATTGGTGATGGTGGGTAGAACAACAGTTGTTACAAGGGGTGTAGGATTTTCATCAAAAGGGTAGGGTACGCGGGGATGGGGGCTGGGGACTTGGTGGGTACTTTATTGCTAATAAGTAGGGGTACATTGGATATTGCATGGGTACTTCGGGGGGGTGAGGAAACTAAAGGGGGCCGGTCATCAGGTGGGTCATTTTGATGCACTTTGGAGGGGTGGGGCTAGTCTTTTGATGGGGAGGGTGTAAGAAATAGAGTCTGGATGGGGTAGTGCTGGTCGGGGGGCGAAGGAAAGAGCTCAGACGGAACATGGCGAGCGAGGAGAGGAGAGGAAGAGGGGAGGATAGAACAAGGAGGTCAGATGATTAGTAGGATGATGAAATAGAGATGAATGCCGATGGCAAAATGATTGCTGGAAATGAGCTGAAACTCAATCAGAGAGGAAGATGAGCAGCATTTGTTTGATTGCGATGAAATGGTTCTGAATCGAAATAGATCGGGGATATCTTGATCATGAGCTTTTGTGATACCTCAAGCCGATTCTTTCCTTATTGAACTACTAGGTCAAGCATGCCTTTGATATTTCAAACTTGAACTGTTGGAATGATTGTGAAAAGTGAACAATGGTTGATTTGATTGGTTGATATTCCCATGGGCTTGGAGGGATCCTGTCAATGCTCTCGAGCTCCCTGTGTGCTCGCATGTCTGACTTCAACCTTGTTCATCACTGAATCACTTCGACAGGCCGGAGCATGAATCTTTGAATCCTTGTTTCAATTGTTGATATATTTGGCGTTGTTTGTTGCGTGGCTGCCCAAGAACGTTTGTGTTGGGTTTTGTTACCCACAAACTTGATGACAATGGTCATGCAAAGTGTTAAGTTTCCCCCTAGCTCCAGCATGCAGAGGAGCGTGAGCAGATGTATGGACAGCAGGATTCTTCTCTCCCTCCTCCTCTTCTCAGCCCTGGCTGTAAAGACGTCAGGGGAATTCAAAGCTCTACGCGGAGGATCGTCAGCAACAATGACGGTTCGCTCCTCGTAACCCCTTTGTCTTTCCTCTCCTCCTAAACCCTAAACCCTTTTCCCTCCTCCTTGCTCCCTCCCTGTCTTCTTGTCAACTTGCTTCCTCCTCTCTCCTTCGCTCACGTCCTGGCATCGTTTGCTTTCCTTTCCTCTTCACCTCCTCCTCCTATCTCTCCCTCCTCGTCTTGCTCTTTGATACCTCTCACTCTCTTTGCGCTTCCCCTTCAGTTCCGCCCTGAGCTCAGAAAGACGTACTCGAGCACCATTCAGAAGCAGGACGCAGAGGACCTGGAGCGGCACAAGGCTCTTCTCCGCGTCCCTTCTCGCCCTTCCGTCCTGGGACAGGCAGATCGAGTCTCCTCCTCCTCGGAGAAGCCGAGGAGGCTGCAGCTCATCCGACCCGACATGGAGTCAAACGAGAATTGCGAGGGGAAAGTGCGGGAGATTGAGGACACCAAGAAGTTCAAGGCGTTCCAGGGTACTGGGCATGTGATGCTGTCACCCGAGGAGGTGAAAACACCAGATCTCTCTTGTGATGGATGAGTCGAGGAGGATGTGGGACGGGACGGGGGAGGGGGGCGAGAGGGAGGAGGAGAGTTGACATCTCTGATGGCGTTTGTGCGCAGGTGAAGTCTGCTTCTTCCACTGAAATGCACAAGTTGGCGATTGCGAGGCTTGCCAGGATGCAGGTAAGGAGGAAGAGGAAGAGGAGGAGAAGGAGGAAGAGGAGGGTCAGGAGGAGGAGGAGGAGGAGGAGGAGGAGGAGGAGGAGGAGAGTGAGCAGTATGTGATTTCCGACTACAGATCAAGATCACTGGAGGCTCCAACTTGACAGTGTCCAAGGTTTGCATTCTTTTCGTGTTCACAGCACTTGTCCTTTTTTTTCAAATCTTTTCCTTTCTCTCACACATGGCTCAAGCTCCAAACCCTCTCCTCCGGCCCACTCCTCCTTAACTCCTCCTCTCCTGTTGGCTCCCCTTCCCGCACGTCCTCCACCTCTCCTCCCACCCTGATCCGTTCCGCCAGGACTCGGAGCTCATACGAGAGGAGGAAGCTCGCTTCAAGAGAACGTGAGGACGAGATGGCTGCAGGAAGGGCCTGACGTGTCAACAGGCATATGACGGCTGTCAAATCTGTCAACGTGCAGCCCCCAGCAGAGCAGGTGACGGCTGGATGGTCTGATAGCTTTCTCCTCCTTGCTGACTAGAGGGGGCAGCTGGAAGACGTCAAGGAGGCGATGGAGCAGACGGCCCGGCAGACGATCTCTGGAGAGAAGGAGGGGGTGGACGAGCACGGGAACACGTGGAAGGAGATCTGGTGAGACTGAGAGGGGGGGAGGGGGGGGGATGCAGACGAGGGGAAAGAGGTAGGAAGAAGCATAAGGAAGAGAGGGATGAGATGATCTGCATGGAGATGAAGGAGCAAGGACAGGAAGGAGAGTAGCAAGGAGGTTTTCTTTTCAATTGCTCTGTTGTCTGTTTCCTTGTCCCTCGCTAACATGACGCCAGGGGAGTTGATGAAGCCACAGGAAAGCGATTTGGATCCAAGGTGGAGAGAGAGGAGGAAGGAGCGAGGAAGGGGAGGAAAGAGGGAGGAACGAGAGGGGGAGAGAGAAATGAGGCAGGGGGAGAAGGAAGGAAGAGAACGTAAAGATGAGGAAGGAGACGGTCAAGTCTGTGCTGCTGAAGATGAGGCAGGTTGGGTACGACGGGCAGGGCGAGTGGCATGAGGAATGGACTCTGAGCAAGGATGGTCAGTTCGAGCTCACCGGAGGAAACACTCAGGTAAGAGGAGGAGGAGGACGAGGAGGACGAGGAGGACGAGGAGGACGAGGAGGAGGAGGAGGACGAGAGGTGGGGGGAGGGATGTTGAAGGGATATGAAGAGGGGGAGGACAGAAGAGGAGAGGAAGGGGAAGTTAAGGTTTTGTTTGAGGGAGGGGATGGAGGCCTAGGGGATGAGGAAGTTGAGAATTGCTGTCGTAAGAAACTCATGCAGGGGCATCGCTGGGGTCAGAGCTACGGAATCTTTGAGAATGGGACTAGTTGGAGAGAAAAATGGCTCGAGAAGGTGCAGACTCCTCCTCCTCCTCCTCCTCCTCCTCCTCCTCCTCCCTCCTCCTCCTCCTCCCTCCTCCTCCTCCCTCCTCCTCCTCCTCCCTCCTTCTCCTCCTCCTCCCCCTCCTCCCTCCTTCTCCTCCTCCTACTCCTCCTCCTCCTCTCGTTCCCTCCTCCTCCCACT